CGGTCGACGGAGTGGCGCATGGAGCAGCGCGTGGAATTTCTCTACGAGTGCTTTTGTTGGCGCGCATCAGGCGCGACCCCTCCTCGACGTGTTCGAGGACGCCCTTTGCGCGCAGCTCTGGCAGGGGGCAGCGGGTCTTTGCTGTGGAGGCGGCCTGGGGCAAGGCGCAGATCAGTGGAGCTATCGGTCTTTCACCTCGCCTGTTCTACAAGCGCGGAGAGGAAGGCAGTGGTCGGCGTTGACGGTCACAATCGCCATTGGGGGCCACTGGGCGCAGCAGCGGAAGCACGCGGCCAAGTTGTCCCCGTCAGACATGCGTGAACGATGCGGCGCACGGCTTGGTATTCCCCTTTCGTCGCACCTGGCTGTGCAGAAGAAGTTATGCCTCGCCAGCGTCCGTTCGAACTGATGAGTTAGTTGCTGAGGCTATCGCCGAGCAAGACGCGCTCCCGTGCTTCTGGATGAGAGGCGTGATCCCGAGAGATTGGGTTCGAGTCCTTCCGCCTGCTTGCGAAGGAGTTTTTTTCGCGCGGGATCCTGACTCAGGGTCGCCTCGGTCCTGGGCGTCTAGGCCAGGGGCCCCAGGGCTGCCCGCTGTTTGTTTTTTGGGGCCCTTCTAGCGGGAAGGACACCCGCGATTGTCGGCTCCGTGGGGTCGGAAACGCGGTGGCGGTTTTCCAGGTTTTTTTGCGTGCTTGGCCCCCACTTGTTCGGGCCTCTCTTTGGGCCTTCCCAAGCGGCGCCCCAGGGGGGGAGTCGCAAGCTTGCGAATGGACCATTCGGTTTTCGCATGGACCTGTCGTGTCCATCGCAGACTGCGCCGAGGTTGCCAGGGGGAGGTGCGCGGGGGCCCCTCGCAGCCCAGAAGATCTCCAGGCTGAGATTTGCGGCGAAACATCGGTTCCACGTTGTCAGAGCAAGGCCGCAACGAAGGCGACGTGGCCGTTCTGCAGATCCCATCCAATCTCTCGGCGCCAGAGGTCGCTCAGCAGGGGTGGGAAAGTTGGCTCATTCAGGGAAGCGCGCGCGTCGGTGCTCTGGCGGGGGCAGCGGCCGTGAAAGCCAGAGCCCCCGAGCCCGACCGTTCCTGAGTCCACCGGGTCGAGCGCAAGGCCAGGCTTGTTAGGAGAAGAGTTCTTAGGGTAGGATTGGAAGCCATCCAGGCCGCCCAGGGCCTCAAAGCTCGGAGTGGGGGTCCTGAGGCCCCGCCTGGTCCTCCTGCTCCTCGGCGGGCTCCCCCCCTCCAGCCCTGGCACGCTCTGCGTCTGCCCACGCCCTGGCCGAAAGCGGAAGAGCCTGTTCGGTGTGGACGTCGGCTCGCCCTCGAAGGAGAGGGCGTCTGCGTGGACAGAGTGCTTGCGTTCCCCCTCGCCCTGTGGCTGCCGATCTGTGCCGGGCCCCGTTATAGGACGGAGTTCACACTCCGCAGGTGGATGTGTGCGCATGCTGCACACGCCCTTCGGTGGCACCAAGACCGTGGAGTTTGTTTGTGTGGGTCGTGTGGACTTTGTCGGTCAGTCCCAGCTCAGGGTCTTATGCCATCCATGCCGCCCCCACTTAATCACCAACTGCGGAGCTCGGCCTGTTATCGCTACGTGATGGCGGGAATCTTGGCAATCCTACTCCTCCTCCTCCCCCTCCTCTTCCTCCTCCTCCTCCTCCTCCTCCTCCTCCTCCACAGTTGCTCAATCTGAATGCTACTCTCCCTCTTCCCCAGATGACGTCTTGGGAGTGTTCGCCCCCCCCCACCCCCCCCCCCCCCTCCGCCCCCGCCCGAGTTTAGATTTACTAAACAGCTTTTGTGATAGGGTTTCTAGTAGGTGTCAAAAGAGGCCTAAAAGAGAGCAGCAGATGACTCCACAGGGGGTCGGGGCCTGGACCACGGGAGCTGTCGACTCGTGTCCCGAATGCGTGTTTGTTTTTTTTTGTTTCGCAAACACAGTCACACACTTCGTGCTCTTCGCCTTCCCAGAACTCCATTCCCAGGCCACATTCTGGGGGGCCGGATGCAACTGTAGGCCACTTCGTGCTCTTCGACATCCCAGAACTCCATTCCCGGGCCACATTTTGGATGCCCGGAGCCAACTGTAGGCCACTTCGTGCTCTTCGACTTCCCAGAACTCCATTCCCGGGCCACATTTTGGATGCCCGGAGCCAACTGTAGGCCACTTCGTGGTCTTCGAGTTCCCAGAACTTCATTCCTGGGCATGATTTTGAATGCCCGGAGCCAACTGTAGGCCACTTCGTGGTGTTCGAGTTCCCAGAACTCCATTCCTGGGCATGATTTTGAATGCCCGGAGCCAACTGTAGGCCATTTCGTGTTCTTCGAGTTCCCAGAACTCCATTCACGGGGCCCACGGCCACATTTTTGATTGCCCGGAGCAACTGTAGGCCACTGCGTGCTCTTCGAAGTCCCACAGAACTCCATTCCGGTGCCAGGTAGATTTTGATGCTGCTGATGCAGAGGCTGAGAATTGTGATGCTGAGATTATGATGGGAGGCTGAGGATGAGGCTGAGGCAGGCTGATGCTGAGGCAGGCTGAGGCTGAGGCTGAGGCTGAGGCTGATGCAGGCTGAGGCTGAGGCAGGCTGAGGCTGAGGCCGAGGCTGAAGGCAGACTGAGGCTGAGGCTGAAGCAGGCTGAGCTGAGGCTGAGGCAGGCTGAGGCTGAGGCTGAGGCTGATGAAGCAGTGAAGCAGGCCTAAGGCTGTGAGAGGCGAGGCAGGACGCTGAGGCGGTGATGCGAGTCAGGGCTGAGCTGAGGCTGAGGCTGAGGCTGATGCAGGCTGAGGCTGAGGCAGGCTGAGGCTGAGGCCGAGGCTGAGGCAGACTGATGCTGAGGCTGAAGCAGGCTGAGGCTGAGGCTGAGGCAGGCTGAGGCTGAGGCTGAGGCAGGCTGATGCTGAGGCAGGCTGAGGCTGAGGCGGAGGCTGATGCAGGCTGAGGCTGAGGCAGGCTGAGGCTGAGGCCGAGGCTGAAGGCAGACTGAGGCTGAGGCTGAAGCAGGCTGAGGCTGAGGCTGAGGCAGGCTGAGGCTGAGGCTGAGGCAGGCTGATGCTGAGGCAGGATGAGGCTGAGGCTGAGGCTGATGCAGGCTGAGGCTGAGGCAGGCTGAGGCTGAGGCCGAGGCTGAAGGCAGACTGAGGCTTTGGCTGAAGCAGGCTGAGGCTGAGGCTGAGGCTGATGCAGGCTGAGGCTGAGGCAGGCTGAGGCGGAGGCCGAGGCTGAAGGCAGACTGAGGCTGAGGCTGAAGCAGGCTGAGGCTGAGGCCGAGGCAGGCTGAGGCTGAGGCTGAGGCAGGCTGAGGCTGAGGCTGAAGCAGGCTGATACTGAGGCAGGCTGAGGCTGAGGCAGGCTGAGGCACAGAGGCTGAGGCTGAAGGCAGACTGAGGCTGAGGCTGAAGCAGGCTGAGGCTGAGGCTGAGGCAGGCTGAGGCTGAGGCTGAGGCAGTCTGATACTGAGGCAGGCTGAGGCTGTGACTGCGACTGCCGCTGCCACTGCGACTGTCATCGCGAATGCGACTGCGACTGCGAGAACAGCAGAACTCTACAACTGGATTCTCATCTGAATCTTAAGGGGAATGCGTCCATATATGCTTCTACACATCGCTGTTAGGTTGCTTTGCCGGGATAATTTTTTACACACAGGTTTCCCCGGAGTTAGGTTTTCGCTTGCATTTTTTTCCAAAATGCTGCTCTCGCTGAGGCGCCGGCCTCATTTTCGGGCCCCGCTCGTTCCGAATCGTGCTCCCGCTGCAGCGCTGGCATCATTTCCGCCGGCGCCTGGGCTGCACGCCCGAGCCGGCGCCCGGGCCGGCGCTCGGGCCGCCGGGTCCGGAGCCAGTTCCGGCCGCCCCTGGAAAATGGAGTTCCGAGGCGGCGCCGAAAAAAGGCCATTCTAATACACAATTTTCTTTTGAAAATGCTAAATTTCTGCTTCCGGCGCCCAGGAGGCCTCCTGGGCCGATTCCGACGCCCGGGCCGGCGCCCGAGCCGGCGCCCGAGCCGGCGCCCGGGCCGGACGCCCGCCGTCGCCCGGGCTGGCGCCCGGGCCGGGTCTGGAGCCGGTTCCGGCTGGCGCCGGAAAATCGAGTTCCGAGGCGGAGCCGAAAAAAGGCAATTCCCATACACATTTTTCTGTGAACATCCGGAATTTCTGCTTCCGGCGCCCGGGGGGGGCCTCCTGGGCCGATTCCGACGCCCGGGCTGGCGCCCGAGCCGGCGCCCGGGCCAGACGCCCGAGCCGGCGCCCAGGCCGGCGCCCGGGCCGGGTCCGGGGCCGGGTCCGGCCTGCGCCGGAAAATCGAGTTCCGAGGCGGCGCCGAAAAAATGGTATTCCCATACACATTTTTCTTGTGAAAATGCTGAATTTCTGCTTCTGGCGCCCGGGGAAGAAGCCTCCCGGGCCGATTCTGGCGTGCTTCCGCTCGTTCCGAATCGTGCTCCCGCTGCAGTTCTGGCCTCATTTCCGCGCTTCCGCTCGTTTCGACTCGTGCTCCCGCTGCAGCGCTGGCGTCATTTCCCGTGCCATGCCACGGCATGCAATGCAATGCAATGCTAGGTTGATGCTACGCTTCGCGGTACTCTTCTACGCCATGCCACGCCGTGCTCTACAATGCATCGCGTACCCTTTCGGGATCATTGCCTTGCTCGACATCCGACTGTGCGAGTAGAGAGGGGATCTGCGCCATGGTTAGGGATGGGAGGTAGGGGTAGGATGTCAGATATGACGCGAGCGCACCTAGCTTGTCCTCCTCCCCCTCCTCCTCCTGTCCCTTTCCCCCCCCCCCTTTCCTCCTCCTCCTTTTCCTCCTCCTCCTGCTGCTCCTTTTCCTCCTCCTCCTCCTCCTCCTCCTCCTCCTCCACCTCCGCCTCCTCCTCCTTCTCGTCCTCCTCCTCCTCCTCCTTCTCCTCCTCCTCCTCCTCCTCCTCCTCCTCCTCCTCCTCCTCCCTCTCCCCCTACCTTTCCCCCTCCCTCTCCCCGCCGCTGGTCTCGCGAGGCTCGGCCGCGGGCAGTCGCGGCAGCGTGGCCGCGGCCGATGGGCTGGACTTGCTCGCGCTGCTGCAGGCGCGCGCCCCCCTCCCACCCGTCGCGAACCTGCTGGCGGGGGGACAGTTACAGCTGCAGCCCGGTGGACCCGCAAGGGCGGGTATGCTCTGCGCCGCCGGTCTCCATGCAGTCTATGGGTATACATATATATATATATATACATGTATATATATACATATATATATATATATATATATATAAATTTTTTTTGGCACGGGGGGAAGGGGGGAGAGAGAGGGAAAGAGAGAGAGAGAGAGAGAAGGAGATATACATATATGGATATACGAAGCGGAGGACCATGAGGAAGAGGATGACGATGAGGATGACGATGACCATGCTGACGATGTTGGTGATGATGCTTAGTATCATGATGGTGACGATGAGGATGACGACGATGATGATGCTGCCGATGATGACGATGATGGTGACGATGATGGTGATGGTGATGGTGATGGTGATGATGATGATGATGATGATGATGATGATGGTGGTGATGGTGATGATGATGATGGTGATGATGATGATGATGGTGATGGTGATGATGATGATGATGATGATGATGATGATGATGATGATGATGATGATGCTGATGATGATGATGATGATGCTGAGCATCATCTTGATGATGATGATGGTTGGATGTATGGATGTATGGATGGATGGATGCATGAAGGGATGGATGATGAGGAGGAGTTTAGGGGAAAAAAAGATGAGACAAATGATGAGGTACATCGATCGAACACTTCCCATACATCGATTTCGTAGGCTTGATCGCAGCCGCCTCGGTGCTTTCCTGGCAGAGGGCCGTACAACCCCAGTCCTCACACCCACCCACCATGCACGGCAACCTCCTATCCCTGAGCCACCCTGGCAGTGTATTTCATGGTCGCATTGTGGTTCCTTGGGCGAAAACGTAGGGATAGGAAATTTAGGTGCGCGAGGGATCATGGTGAAAGTAAGGTTATGAGTCAAGGTATGCAGCTCGAGCGAGCCAGCGGGCCCACTCGAACGGTCTCCAGAGGTTCCCTGAGGTCCCCATGAGGGTTCCCCGAGGTCTCTCGGATGCCCAGAACGGGCCCTCAACCTCCGTCTCGAGTCTTGAGTATTGAAAGCTCAGACCATAGGATCGGTGGAAGCTGGGAGCAGTGGGCTGGCCACTTTGTTCTCGCAGCCCTGGGAGGCTCGAGCGCGGCGGAAGGGTGGGCCCGCGCGGGTCTGGGGCGCTCTCCTCCCAGTGGGCGCGCGGATGTGGGCCGGCTGGGCCGGCCATGGTAATTATCATCTTGCCGTGCGCCGGCCTGGCCGGCCAGACCACTGGCAGGCACCCCATTGGGGGCGACGGCTTCGGGCTCCCCGGGGGAGCGTGAGGGTCACCGAGTCTGGGGTTCTGTCGGGCGTGTCCCCCTACAGGGGGATTTTCGGCGACAAACAAAAATACCCCAAAAGGGTCCAAAGATATTCAGAAAATAGTCCCCAGACTATCTTTGGACTATCTTTGGATTATTTACCTAACAGCGTAGACTGATAGGTTTCTAGTTGATTCAAAAGAGCTCACAGATCACTCCACAGGGGGGTCCGGGCAGGCGTTGGGAGTTGCCGGCCGGGCCTGTGCCGGGCTCGTTTTTCACCAACAGTCACACACTTCGTGCTCGTCGACCTCTCAGAACGCCATTCCCAGGCCACATTCTGAATAACCGGATGCAACAGTCAGACACTTCGTGCTCTTCGACTTCCCAGAACTCCATTCCCGGGCCACATTTTGAATGCCCGGAGCCAACTGTAGGCCACTTCGTGGTCTTCGAGTCCCCAGAACTCCATTCCCGGGCCACATTTTGAATGCCCGGAGCCATCTGTAGGCCACTTCGTGCTCTTCGAGTTCCCAGAACTCCATTCCCGGGCCACATTTTGGATGCCCGGAGCCAACTGTAGGCCACTTCGTGCTCTTCGAGTTCCCAGAACTCCATTCCCGGGCCACATTTTGAATGCCCGGAGCCAAATGTAGGCCACTTCGTGCTCTTCGACTTCCCAGAACTCCATTCCCGGGCCACATTTTGTATGCCCGGAGCCAACTGTAGGCCACTTCGTGGTCTTCGAGTTCCCAGAACTCCATTCCTGGGCATGATTTTGAATGCCCGGAGCCAACTGTAGGCCACTTCGTGTTCTTCTAGTTCCCAGAACTCCATTCCTGGGCCACAGTTTGAATGCTGAGGCAGGCTGATGCTGCGGCCGAGGCAGGCTGAGGCTGAGGCAGGCTGAGGCTGAGGCCAAGGCTGAAGGCAGACTGAGGCTGAGGCTGAAGCAGACTGAGGCTGAGGCTGAGGCAGGCTGAGGCTGAGGCTGAAGCAGGCTGATGCTGAGGCAGGCTGAGGCTGAGGCTGAGGCTGATGCAGGCTGAGGCTGAGGCAGGCTGCGGCTGAGGCCGAGGCCGACGGCAGACTGAGGCTGAGGCTGAAGCAGGCTGAGGCTGAGGCAGAGGCAGGCTGAGGCTGAGGCTGAAGCTGAGGCAGGCTGATGCTGAGGCAGGCTGAGGCTGAGGCTGAGGCTGATGCAGGCTGAGGCTGAGGCAGGCTGAGGCTGAGGCCGAGGCTGATGCAGGCTGAGGCTGAGGCAGGCTGAGGCTGAGGCCGAGGATGAAGGCAGACTGAGGCTGAGGCTGAAGCAGGCTGAGGCTGAGGCTGAGGCAGGCTGAGGCTGAGGCTGAGGCAGGCTGATGCTGAGGCAGGCTGAGGCTGAGGCTGAGGCTGATGCAGGCTGAGGCTGAGGCAGGCTGAGGCTGAGGCCGAGGCTGAAGGCAGACTGAGGCTGAGGCTGAAGTAGGCTGAGGCTGAGGCTGAGGCAGGCTGAGGCTGAGGCTGAGGCAGGCTGAGGCTGAGGCTGTGACTGCGACTGCCGTTGCCGCTGCGACTGTCATCGCGAATGCGACTACGACTGCGAGAACAGCAGAATTCTACAACTGGATTCTCATCCGAATCTTAAGGGGAATGCTTCCAGATATGCTCCTACACATCGCTGTTAGGTTGCTTTGCCGGGACAATTTTTGATTATTTTTTTGGGTATTTTTTATTGTTCGTCGAAAATCCCCCCGTAGGGGGACAGGCCCGACTTCAGTCTGGGGGCTCCGCGATCCCCTCCGGGACGCCCCGGGGCCCCGGCTCCGACGCCGCGGGGACGCGTGGCCGAAGCCCGGGGAGGGGCGGCGGGCGGGGGGGTGGGGGAGCCGCGCTGCCAGACCCCCCTCGGGCCCCGAGCGCCCGCGGCTGCGGCAAGAGGGGCGGGGCGCTCGGCGAGCACCTCTGCCTGCCAAGGCAGCCCGAGCCCCAGGTGCGGGCGGGGCGGGGCCGTGCCCGGCGGCCGCCCGCCCGGTGGCCGGCGGCGGCAGAGGCGTGGGCCTGCCGCCGCCGCCGCCGTGTGTGCGGGCTCTGGGGCCGACGATGGCCAGGTCGCCCGGTGGGGCCGCCCGGGTCCCCGACCAGGTCTGTCGGCGGGGCCCGGTGAGAGCCTCCTCCCTGCGCCGACGGGGGCGCCAGGCCCGAGGGGGCGCCCCACCACGCGGTTGGGGCATGGGGCTGCGTGCGCTGGGCCTGGGCTGGGCCTGGGCATGGGGCTGCGTGCGCTGGGCCTGGGCTGGCTCAGTACTCGGTGGGCGAACGGGTCCCAGTCCCGAGCGGGGCGTGCCCGAATGGGGGCTCTTGTTACTGCTTGGCGCTGGTTTCGCCCGTGGATGCAGCGATCATCCGAGGAGACGTTCGCGTTGTGTGACGTGCGTGCGGTCCGGATAAGCATGTGCGTTCTCCCCTATACCATACTGCCGGGGCGCTCTCCACCGCTGGGGGCTCGTTCGGGCAGACGATCGAGCTGGGGCTGTCGGTCTTGGACAGCTGGTGGAGTACGGCGGTTGTGGGGAACAGCAGCCAAAGACGAACGCGCTTACCACATCAAAGACAGGCAGTCTTACTGCGACGCGCGAAAAAATGGCGCGGCAGCGGCGGATGCCATTCAGCACAGACGACATACACATCCACACGTGCACACGCCAATGTCTTTGAGTCGCTGAGATCAAGTTCTCGGTCCGTTGAGCGAACAATCGTGAACAAGGGAGCGAGCGATCCTGAGGACGAAGTTTTGCATCCGCAGACTCAGACTATGGCAGGTCGTCTTGTAAAGCTGACCATTGCCAGGAGGCGATCGGAGGACCGACTACGACCGATGTATTCGAAACTCTAGCCCATTATGGGGCCCTCGGTCTGCGGATACTCGACATGCTTCTGAGTCGCCCTATCGAACCGTGGAAAGGTTGCGGAATTATTTTCGCGGTGATGATTGTGACAATAAGTATCAGATGCTTGTGTTTCGTTATGTTTTGAATGGCTGTGAGCACCAGGGTTTCTGACAATTTCTGAAATGCGGAATCCTGCATCATCAGCAGCAGTGGCAGTCAAGATGTCAGTGGAGCGGTGTTTGCGACCTTTTCTCCTTTGCAGCGCGAGGATGTCCTTGGGCTTTGCAAGCGAGCTCACGCTCGCCTGTTTCGTCGCTATGCCGATAGCGTCATCGAGCGAGTAATCGTGTGGTCGTTGCCGACTGTGGCATTGTGTCAGGGCCGCTGCATGGACGATGCCCAACTGGCTCTGTTTATGCGTGTGTTCGGTCATCCCCTTTGACATTGGTTGGAGTATTTCTCATGGTCTGGGTCGGACGGATGCTCACACATATGTGGGCTGCACGATCAATCGCTGCTCTCGGAGCACGAGATTCGCATTGATTGGTAATATTCTCTTGTCCCGAGTGCCCCAAGTGCCCAATCCTTGGCTCGAGAAGCCCGTCGGCGAATGCTGCTACTGCACGGTCCTGCAGAAGAAATGGCTGACCCTCAGCGGTTGGTATGCTGTTCTTTCTTGTGGCATTTTCTTCAAGACGCTGGAGGTCTGGGTTCGACCCAGATTCGACAGGCCCCACGCCAGATCTGGTTCAGGGGCCCTAACTTCGTCCTCGAGGGGCCTGTTTCGGGCCCAGGGTGG